AAGAAAGAAGGAAGGAAGGAAGGAAGGAAGGAAGGAAGGAAGGAAGGAAGGAAGGAAGGAAGGAAGGAAGGAAGGAAGGAAGGAGAAAAGAGAAACAAAAAACAGAATAAACAGAAAATGACAAAATACCAGACTTAAGCCCTAGTATATAACACTTTAAAGACAGAGATTGGCCGATTGGATTAAGAAACATGACCCAACTATATGCTCTTACAGGACACTTATTTCAAATACAATGATATAGGCATTGATAGTAAAAGAATGAAGAAAGACATATCATGCAAACATTAGTCAAAGGAAAGCAAGAGCAGCTCTAGCAATATCAGATTAACTAGACTTTAGAACAAAGAAAATCACCAGAGTCAAAGAGGGACATTATGTAATGATTTAAAAGGGAACCTATTCACCAAGAAGACATAGGCGTCTTAAATGTACACACACCAAACAATAAAACTGCAAAATATGTGAAGCAAAAGTGTTAGAATTAAAAGAAGGTATAGACAAATCCACAGTTGTAGTTGGAGACTTCAACAGTCCTCTCTCAACAAATGATAGAACTAAAGAGAAACTCTTCCATGATATAGAACTCAGTATCAATAATCAAGAGGATCTCAGTGATATTTATAGAACACTCTACCTAAAACATCATAACACACATTCTTTCCAAGTATCAGTGGAACATATACCAAGATAGGTCATATCCTGGGCCACAAAATAAACCTCAAAAAATTTAAAAGAGTCAGAATCGTACAGAGTGTATTTTCCAGCCACAGTGGAATCAAACTAGAAGTAAAAAATGGAAAAATAACATGAAAATCTCTAAACGCTTGGAAACTAAACGGTACACTGCTAGATATTTCAAAAAGGAAGTCTCAAAGAAAATTTAAAAATTCAGTTGAACTGAATGAAAATGGAAATAAGACATTTTAAAGTTTGTCCTCATAAAGATTATATGATTGTCTACATAGAAATCCCAAGAGGAAAAAAAAAAACAACTAGAATTAATAACTGTGTTTAGCAAGGTCATAGGATACAAGGTAAACATACAACAATCAATTGCATTTCTATATACTAGCAATGAACATGTAGATACTGAGATTAAAAATACAATACCAGTCACAATAGCTTAAAAAATGAATTATTTAGGTGTAAATCTAACAAAACATGTATAGGATTTAAATGTGGAAAATTACACAATCCTGATGGAAGAAATCAAAGATCTACTTCTCTGAGAGACACATTGGGTGCATGGATTAGAATACTCAGCATAATAACAATGTCAATTTTCCCAAAATTTATATACAGTTCTAACACAATTCCTATCAAAAAACCCAGCATGATTTTTTAAGTAGATATAGGCAAGATTATTCTAAAATTTATATGAAAAGAGAAAGGAATCAAAATAGCTAAAACAATTTTGAGAAAGAAGAGCAAAGTGGGAGGATGAAGAAGTCTACCTGGTTTTAAGACTGATTATGTAGCTACAGTAATCAAGACTGTGTAGTGTTGGTGGAAGGATGTGCACATAGATTAATGGAACAGAATAAAAAAAAATAAAAACAGATATAGACCCATACATAGATGCCCAACTGATGTTTGGCAAAAATGTAAAGCAACTCAATGGAGAAAATAGAGCTCTTTCAGCAAATGGTGCTGGAACATAGAGATAACCATCCATAGGCAAAAATAGAAACCTCAGCCTAAGTCTCAAACCTTATAAAAAATTACCCTCAAATACATCATGGACATAATATAAAATACGAAACTTTAAAAAGCAAACATAGGAGAAAATCTTCAGGATCTAGGGCTAGGCAGAGTTCTTAAATGTGACAACAAAAGCATAACCCTTAAAAGGAATAATTAGTAAATTGGACTTTATAAAATTAAAAACTTTTTCTCTGCAAAAGACCCTGTTAAGAGGATGAAAAGACAAGCTACAGAATGGGAGAAAGTATTTGCAAACCACGTATCTGACAAAGAACTAGTATGTATAATATATAAAGAGCTCTCAAAGCTCAACAGTAAAACAGACAAACAAAAAAAACAATTAGAGAATAGGCAAAAGACATTAGGAGGCAATTCACAAAAGAAGATATACAAATGGCAAATAAGCATACAAAAAGATGTTTAACAACATTAGTCATTAGTGAAATACACAACAAAACCACAATGAGATATCATTAAATGCCAGCAGAATGGCTAATCTAAAAAATAGTTATAACCCAAGATGCCAGCAAGGATGCAGAGAAATTTGATCACTTGTCCACTACTGGTGGAAATCTAACATGGTACAGACTCTCTGGAAAACAGTTTGGCAGTTCCTTAAAAATTAAACTTTCAACTACTATGACCTAGCAATCAAAGTCCTAGGCATTTATCCCAAATACACGCGGACTTATATTCACACGAAAACTTCTACATGAATGGTCGAGACAATAATAATAATGTTTATTGATAATAGCCCTAAACTGGGACCAACCCAGATATCCTTTAATGGATGAATGGTTAAGCAAACTGTAGTACATCCATACCATGGCTATGACTCTACAATAAAAAGTAATAAACTACTAACATGAACAACAGCTTGGATAAATCTCCAGAGAAGTATACTGAGTGAAAAAGCAAATCCATTTATATGACATTTATGAAATGACAAAAGTATAGAAA